ACTCGTGTTTCCTCAGTCACGAAATCACAGAACCGTCTATGTCCTGTTTGTGACTTGTTTAAAATGATTCGATAAAGAAATGCGATAGAGGATTCATCACCTACGATTGCGTTGCAATTTAAAACTAATAATAACGAGTTTAATACTCATGAAGGAAGTATTCCATTTTACTTAGACTTTACTTAATCCATTTGATCTACATATATGCTGGTTTCCATTACTCTGATGCTCAAAACACGTTGAATGATTTCTTCAAGTAAAAAATTTTTCTGGTTGATTTCTTAACTCAATTAATTTCTTATTTTAGTTTTGCGTTAAATTAATGGAAGAATGTTTTTGAAATACACCGGTATTGAAAAGCTCAATACCGCATTCCGTAAAAAGAACATTTAAAAATTTCGATTTATTTAATAAATGTCTCATGTCCACATGCAATTGACTGAATAGTGGCTATCCAGAAACTGTAGTACTATGTGAAATGTCTATGAAAGCATCAACCTGATGGTTTGCTGAATAAATGTAGTCAAAATGACATGGATGCTACAAATGAAACCAAACAGTATTTTGGTAGTAATCTGAATTCGAACATTCTTGCTTAACGCATCCACCATAGTTATGACAGTTCTCTTTTCAAACATGAAGGTGGAGATGTTGAGATCACATTTGACGTCGCAGAATAATTTGATAGAACCAACTTATCCGACCGACAACCAAAGTGCAAGTATTCAGCCAACACATCACATTCACATGAACATTGTTGAACCAGTACAATGTTTGAACAATTGCCCATTCAAACACTATGTGTGACATAGACACAAAGTAACCACAAATTTATTTTCTTAGTTTTCTCAATAATGATGAGATAGATATTGAATTAAATGAACATTCAGTCATTTAGTGGTTTTATTTCATTTTCTCACATTTCAGTTAAGCATGAATTTCTATCACAAGTACTGGAAATGATGAGTAAGTAACCTATTGAATCGAATATACTGACAATATTATGTAGTATGTGTTGTATGTAGTATGAAGACGATAGTTGAAATACGCAAATTAGAGTTACGTGCAACTACACGTCGGTTCACTAGATTTAATGCACAGTTCCTTTTGAATTGAAATATCTATTCAAATGGATGTTTGAGATACAGTCTAAGGAAAAGTAGAATTGAATAAATGTTTACGATTGCAGTTGACGCTCGACAACATGGTGATTTTCTGATCCATTACTCCGGTGGGATTTACAACATGTTTGATCAAATGAATACATACATATTGATCAAGATCCATTAAACAGTGTTACTTTAGTCCAGTAGTTCATTTCGAATGTACACTTGTATGATTTATCATATTACTAATCATTCTTATGTTTCTGTTTGAATTCCAGCTGACGATGGAAACTAAATGAATTTGAATTTGCTAACGCTGAACTGGACCTAACTCATTTCTCATTTACCCATATTTTTCTAACAATTAATTTGCTGTCGTAATAAGTAATCACAAATTTCTTCTTTCATTAACAATATTCACCGTTAATATTAACTAACTCTTATTTGTTTATGTTCAAAACATTGATGCAGTAAACGATTGTAATATGTGAAATTAAATGTCTATAAATTGGTGTTCGAGTTTTAATGTGGTTCATCCACAATAAGAAATGAACTAGTGGTTGACGGAAACGAGAATAGTATATTGGATATGGTGAATATAACAGTTGGACGACAGTCATTCCTCAATATGATAACTGATTTCCATGAATCACGATGTTAACTGCAATCTACTCATATCATTCAACATTCTGGAACTAACTTCTCAAACCCGAGTTCATGTGTAAATATGAACTAACATGTATCACTTCATTATGAGTATCTCAAAATTATTCATTTACTACAATTTAAACAAATCATCAACCAATTAGAACATTAGAAATTGACTCAAACACTGTGTTGCTCACCTTAAATGATTAACACCTCATTCAATACTATTTTCGAGGGGTTAGGATATTATGTAGGGTGGGTGTACAAAACAAACGCCAACAACACAACACGGAAACGAGTCGAGCTATCACACTGCACAGCGATCCGGCTCACTGGTGAGAGAAGACCGGATTTAGCTGGGTTAACATTTCTTCCACAAGCAGTTCGGAAGAACGAAAGAGCAAGCATTCAACTCACGTGTATATAGGCAATGCAAAAATCTCCTTGAAAAACGTCACAACATAGCACACTATGAGAGAACACGAAAAAAATAAAACCAAAGTCCTTCCAGATAAGAAACACAAACTGAAGGTAAAAGTGGGCGTTTTAGTCATGAAAATAGGAAATGAGAATTTACGCAACTAAATTACAAAAGTGAGAATTTCACCCCGTAATTTCTTCACATCCTCAACATCCACTGAGCATCTTAGTTCAGTAAGCCAGCATTTCGCTCCACTAATCCAGTGTTTAAATCACTGTCAGCTATGGTTCCAGTAAACTAGAGACTCAATTTGATCAGCGTTAGTTGCCGAATTGACATTCCATGAGCATCGCCACGATATTACTATTATGTTATATGTTATTTCGAAATCATGAATTATTCACACCAACCGAACATGCTACTGGCCAACTAAACTCAGGGACACAATAGATAACATGTTGTATGCTTGAATTGGATGGCATTATGTTCGAGTCCCGGTGTGGAAATCAATAGTGACGTACGTGACAGTCATATATATATATATATATATATATATATGGTGATAAATTGTTGAAATGCATTATTCTGCCTCACTTGCATCAGTTGAAGATGTCGACTCAGAAGAAAGATTGCGTTGAGCTTGAAGACGCTTACTTCTTCGTACTTGATTTCTTTGTGTTGTGACGTCTTTTTCATGACTGACATCAGTAATATTCATTGTGTGCATATCAATAACCATCATTTCCGTCGCACCAGTATCATCTGATGAATAGTTGTCAACATTCTTTGTCAAAATCTTTGAAACTACATCCATTTCATCATTATCCAATTTTATTTGTGTTCATTAGCTGATAACCTGTTTGTTTATTAATACGCCTCAAATTCGAGTTAAAAATGTAATATACATACAAGTGTGTCCAATATGTTCTTGATTTGAGTGCTGGTCCATTTGAGACTATCAGAGTATGTGTTGAACAGTACTGAAAATTACGAGTTCATATGCTGAATATTGATGATCTGCAATCTCACCCATATATGTCTTTCAGCTAGCCGACAAATAAGTCCTTACGCCCATTCTATTTCATACGTATTTAGTAGGTTTAACTTCGTGATTTATATATCCACAGAGTTTAGCTATTCTTTTATCCCCAAACATTTTTATTAGGTCGGATATTAGGGATCCGTCTGATGGAAAAAAATCACCCCTTGAATTATTTTAATAACAAATTGAACGTTTCATTATAGAAGGGACAAAATGAAACATCAAACGATTCTGACAGTTCGATCGAGTATGCACTTTGTCTCAGAATGTAGATGAGCCCGAAGAACATTACAATACTAGTTCTTCTACATCAAACAACCCAGTTAAAAAAAATCATAACGAAATGAATGTCATAATAGATGTACGTATGATGATGATGATGATGATCATCATCATCATCATCATCATCATCATTTTGCTTTCCTTAAAAGTGGCCACATCGTTAACGTCGTTAAAAAGTCTCTCTCAGAATTCAAGAAATGGTTACGACCACTATTATATGAGATATACTATAAAAAACTTTTGAAATTACAATCACTCATAAATCAACTCAACATTATCTGGTTTTATACAGATCAAAAGATACAAATGTAAAAAAAATGATAAACTTGACACTATCTACAACCTAAAGTGAATTAACTGAGAGAAGCATTAAACTGTACAATATCAGTACCCACCTATCCTTAAATATAAATAAATCTAAACTAGCAGTGAAATAACACGAAATATTAACACTAATATCATATTATAATGTTCTAAAGAAAACAGGAACTTGGTGCAATCTTCATTGAGACGCATTAATACTTCCTTAAGATATAGATCCAAATCTATTTGATTATTTTAAAAAATAGAATGAAGCACATAAAAATTACATTCCACTTTGTTAATCACCAACACTACGATCGGAATTTTCAATACAAATGTCAAGACAGTTCTACTCTATGGGGCGAAGTCGTGGAGAACTACGAAAGACATCATCCAGAAGATACAAGTGTTTATCAACAGTTGTCTACGCAAGATACTTCTCATCCGTTGAACAGACACTATCAGCAACAAGTTACTGTGGGAGAGAACAAACCAGATTCCAGAGGAGGAAGAAATCAGGAAGAAGTGGTGGGAGTGGATTGAGCACACTTTGAGGAAATCACCCAATTGCGTCACGAGACAAGCCGTCACATGGAATCCTGAAGGCCAAAGGAGAGGAGGAAGACAAAAGAGCACATTACGCCGAGGAACAGAAACAGACATGAGAAGAATGAACAAGAACTGTATAGAACTAGAAAGGAAGGCCCAGGACAGATTGGTTTGTAGGATACTGGTTGGCGGCTTGTGCTCCATTGAGAGTTACAGGCATAAGTAAGTAAGTAAGTAATCACCTACATGAAAAAAGGTTAGTTAATAATCTGAATTACAATAAGATCAAATCAGATGAAGTTCTAATATGGTATTCAAATTCCGCTCATAAATGACAAATATTAAGTATATTGTTCATTACAACTTATTTATCAGAAGGAGTTTTGTGGAGATTTCAGTATTTTCATAATTGAAATCATGAGTCAATTGAAACTAGATCACCAAAGGAAAACCTGGAAGCACTGGATGGCCGTTTCGTCCTATTATAGGACTCCTTAACTTATTTATTATCTACATAATACAAATTGCGCCATATGGTCAAATTACAGCCAATCAAAATTCGACAATATTTTTATTGGTTAATTTATTTAAACTTAAAGTAGTCAGTCCAAGGGGTGTGTGGCTCAACATTTTAGAAGTCATCACTAGTGTTGTGGAATACTAATTCTATTCTCTAAAATCCATGGGACTTTATTATTTAATTTGTTGTTTCATTCAATATTTTATCATTTTAACAATTCACATTGAGGTGATCTGTTCAACAATAGAGTTAAGTCAACAACAGCAACAACAAGATCGTTTGGCAACATTTTCATTAAAATTTTTAGAATTTCATAATCATGCACATCGACGTAATGATGGTAGTTGTTGTGGTCGTCCTATACAGTCATCTTCATCAACAACTATAAAAGTAGAAACAGAAATATGCAAGGCAGAATGTGCATTGGAATTTCGTATCTGTATTGAACCTTATACAATAATCAGCATATTATCAAATAGTACAAAAATTTATAATGGTCCTTGTATGTATGGTGAAGTATACACTGGTCATTGGGGTAATACAGATATTACATATGGTTTATTAGAAGCCTGTGTACACTCTATTGGAATTATGCATCCATGAACGGTAAGTTAATGACTGGTTTATTGTAATATGGAGTTTTTTTAATGGGTATTATGCAATAACTGGAAGGAATTGCGATGGTATTAAAATAATTCGAGAGCAACTGAAAATTAAAGATTATTGAAAAGAATTATGCAATGATTACTTCACAGTGTTCGAACTCATGTTTACACATAGAGAATGGAATTGAAGATATTTAAGTGATTCGAAAATCACAATAACCTGTATTCAGTGAGTTGCTTCGAATCACCGTTACAGTAAATTTATGATCTAACAAGCCGATCATTTTATGTCCTTAGTAATGTGTATCACATTTGAAATATGTTTCGACTCTGTCAGTTAAAATTTTAGAAAAAATTCTTCAACCGAAACCCCTTTTGATTGGATTTCCTTATAAAAAAAATACTCAGTTGAGTGATTAATTTAACTAATCACACTTGATGATGCACAGTAACCATCTCCGTTTTAGCTTCAGATTAGTTTTATGAATGAATAGAAAACTGACAGAACTCAGTGCGCGGGAGTAGACGAACACAATAAATGAGTACTTATTATACACTGAAAATAAATCAAAACCGTCCGATTCTAATGGACCATTCTCAGCAGCCCTATTTACATAAATGGCGTGAATTACTTAATCCATAAACATAATTAGCATTATGACAGGATTGAACTGTTACAAACCAACAAATGTAACTAATTCACTAAGCTACATGATTTACTCATTCTTAACACTTTTTCCTTATTAAGTAGTATTGTATATGAGTAGCTCTTTCACTACTGTTCAACTTGATTTGTTATTCAAATCATTTGCATTTTGCTTCTTAATGTTTGGAATGAATGGAATCAAGTAGAAATTTATGTTCTGGATATTTAAGTCACATTTTTGCATCTGATTTAATTCTTCAATCATTGACACTCTTGGTTTATACTACAAAGAAGACGGGGAAGCTGTTGATTGGATTATTAACGTTCATTCATTAAGATTATGGGGACTACATGTCTGTCATTGTCTGTCTTTAACCTACACAACTGACTTGAATAAGAGTTAGTCAGAAGTTAAAGACAATATCAAACCAGACTAGGTAATGATATCGGCAGTTGACAAGGGAAATGACTACACTAGTCTTTGTACACTGTTGAATGGACACCTCCTGTTTGGTGTCTGTACGATTTAATGCTAATCTTTAATCGTAAGCTGTTAGTGATTTCGCTCAAAATCTATTTTAATGAAGCAAGTGAATACATTCACTACGTTTCTTCAACATCCAAGTTTCATTACCATTATCCTTACTATCGTTCTTTGATACCACACCATCCGATAGTTCTAGTCAGTTCGTAGAAAAATAATGAAACCCAGGATTTTTGCTAGTTGACACTTGTCAGTAAGGCATAAGTGGGGTTTGGGGAAAAACCGATACTCCCTATGAAGTTCCAATTCACATTGTAAAATATCACTGTTTAAGACAAAACAACAGAATTATTCAGGCCATGCCTGGGATGGTGTATAACAGAAATATTCTTATTAATCCATTAACCATCATTATATTTGTCATAGTCTCTACAATGTTGATCCATGTCGATTTCACATAACATTCTCAAATGATACTTCTTAAATTTGATTTATCCACGTTATTGATTATTAGTCATTTTATATGTTACTAGCAACAGTAGAAGTTGTTCTCTACTCCTTATTTCAATTAAATCCCAATGCCCAATGTATTCAAACCATTTATCACAGCTTCTGAGCCTAAAAAGTACAATTTTTAACTAATTGCATAGTCATCCATTTAAGATGCACATATGGCAAAACAGACCGAAAAATTATCCTCCTGATTATCAATAACAGGACGATTTAAACAGTAATATTCTCACTATCCGTTTCAACTAGGAACTGAGTATTTGCATTTGTTAGCTTGGTGTACAATGATTTGACATTTAAAACAATAGTTACTAGATTCAAATGTTAATCTGAACATCAACACTGTGATATGAAAGCATTCAGTAGAATATTAATGAATGAGATGAAGTGTTCTTTTTGAATATTATCGCTATCCAAAATCCAAATGTAATTACAATTGACTGATCAATATTCCAGTAATCTAAATAAAAACACATTTATTATTTATTTATTTGAACACATAAATATTGGTACAAAGGGGCATCGAATACATGGTCATTTGTAAAGAATTATTCAAGCGTGTGTTAGAATTTGTTCGTGTGTGTGTGTGGGGGGGGAAATGCGCTCATTCTATATTGGCCCCCATTCCATATTTCTATTTGAGTTGCTTAATTAGTTAGTTAGTCAGTTGACTAGTAAATGAATGAATGAATGATTTAATGAATTTACTACTTACAAGTAGTTTGACTTATTTCTTTTTACAATAAACTAAACCGACATATTTTATTTTAAGAGAAAAGATAACCACATAACGTCCAAATTATATTTACTTGTCTATCTATCTCTATATATGTTCAAGCCTTGATGTATACCGAAGAATCTATATATATATCTGCACTCAACCACACACACACACGCGCACACTAGTTTTGTTCTCTCTATATATACTACTGATATTCGTTTTGCTTCAACTTATGCATATTCATGAATGTGGTTTAATTAAGTAGTATATATGTTGTTTCTCCTATGATTAAATATTTTATTCTATGCATATATTTAGTCAATAATAATAATGATAATAATAGTAGAATATGCCCTAAGGATTGAAAATATTATGATAAATAGACCTTTACTACTACTCATCCTATGTCTTTTTAGATAGAATATGAGAGAGAATAATTAATCCTAGATAGTATTGAATGATGAGGATGTTATGTAACGAATTGACTGATGAATGGAGATGTAGACTATTGGTTGTCAAATCAAGAATTTACATCGATCATGCTTGAATGTAAGGACTAACGGAATTAATAGTTCATAATCCCTTAAGCTTTATTCATGGGCACTAACTACCTGATTGAAGTTGGTAAGATTATCTTAACTGATCGATAGAGATAATGAATGATAAAGCACAGAATATGTTTTTGTTATATCTAGAGCTTTGATTCTTCCTATACCGCCTACTACTGGACTACTTGAAGAATCAAACCCGCAACGTCGCAAGAGAGAAAACAGAAGACAAGTAAGTAGGAATTTTATTCCCCAAATCAGTGTCGAAATATAGTACAGAAATCTCATGTATTTATAGCTTTTCGGCCGAAAGTAAATAATCATTTCGGACAGCCGATAGGCACATAGGGGGTCATTCTTATCCATCCAATAAGGAAGCTACACGTCAACATTTTTGAATGTTCCGTTAGTGGTGATTGGATGGAATGTCTTCAGCTCTTTTTGGGCTTAGTGAGGCTTCCTTGATTTTGCTAACGAGCCATCCTTACAGTTTTAATGACACAAATTCATTCACTAATTGTATCCTGTTTGATCTTGAGGTTTGAGATTAATTCATAACTTTTTCTCTATGAATTCATTCTTTCTTGTTGAATCATATCGAATCTTTTTTACTACTACTACTACTACTACTACTACTACTACTACTACTACTACTACTACTACTACTACTATTGCTACTACTACTACTATAAACGATATCACTACTTCTATTATTCTGGTTATAGTCTTCATGATTTCATCTCACAGTGTTAATTTAATGTCGTAACTTCGGTTGATGAGTATATATGTGTCAGGTATTCCAACTTAAGATGAAATAGCTGTTCAATGTTTATTTTTTGAAAAGTCCTTAATTCAATGAGCAGTTTTCATGAAACTTAATTCTATGGTTAGATGTAGAGTATAAGATAAGAATGATAAATTAATTGATGACTTAATAAATCTTCATTAGCTTGGACATTTGAGACATCATCCTGGTGATTAGATTAAAAACAATTGTCATATGAGTCCCCGAAACTATTAGTAAAGTCAAGCGTTGTAAGAGCTCTCGTTATCCTTTGAAATACTTTTACATAGTCATGAATTTGTAGCTTCTGGTAGGAACGTTCTACTCACTGCCTATCTTTTATAGAAGTGAAAAGATGAAAAGCGGACGACTAATGCCTAAATCTTGTTTTTGGACATAAGATATCTACCTTTAGTAATTGGGTTTTTCTGACTCCAAACTAATGATGTTCATGTGCTCCAAGTTTTTGAGGGAACGAACGATGTAGATACTTATTCTGATTACCGAATATCATGAGACAACCTTCCATGACGTTGATTCACTACATTATGGATTAGATACCAATGTCGAAGGTTCAGTGAGAAGCTTCCTAGGAATAGTAACTACTTCAATTTAGATACCCATACAGTACACAATCCCACACATAAAAAGACATAAATAGTTTAAATGATATCGTAATCTACAGTAGGTTCATAGTTCAGACTTTTATAATTTATGGGTATATAGTGATGGGGTAGTTTCGAACTAAAACAAAATACTTATTCAATGTATACTGATTTTCGACGGCTTAAAAGTTGACATCGCTTCAGAATGAAGATTTGAAATTGATCAAACTATGTCCTCAAAATATCAGTTCTACGAAGATTTTTCAAGAAAATCTAATTTTCATTCATTTACGTAGATAAACATACTTATAATATAATTTCAGAGGGGTTTATTGTGGAAATTTTAGCAATTTTATAGTTAAAATCATGAGTCGATTGAAGCTAGACCACCATGGAAAACCTAAAAGCACTGAACGACCGTTTCGTCCTGTTGTGGGACCCCTCATCAGTGAGTATCCAAAATCCCGCCTCACGAGATTTAAACCCAGGACCTATCGGTTTCGCGCTCGAGAGCTGAAGAGTCCGACAATAGGACGAAACAGTCATACAGTGCTTGTAGGTTTCCCATGCCGATCTAGCTTCATTTGACTCATGAATTCAACTATGAAATTATAGTTTATTTGTTAAAATGGAAAGAATTCAGTAAACATAATTGTCTTTTCAACGAAATCATTTCCTTAAGCTATACATTTGTATTTAT